AATTTTATGGTTGTGAATTATATCAATTTAAAAATTGGGAAAAGTAGAAGAAAGAAGTACCAGTTAACCAGGAGGCTATAATTGAGTTATCTATGCTGAGAATAAGCTTCTCAATTTGTTGTGGCCCCAGTTCCCTTATCTGTAAGAGATCTACTTCATAATCTCTTCTTTCTTTGAAATACTTTAAGCAAATTATGAAATAATTTCAAAACTGAGACATACCTTTTAAATTTACTAATTTATTCCACAGAGTAAATGCTAAGGCCGAGGTGGGTTATGTCTCTGTGGAGAGCATGGCCCTGGTGCTTCCTCAGATCCAACGCAAGTAAAATGGCCCCATGAGCATCTACTTCCAACAAGTTCCATCCCCAGGATCTTAGAGCTGGTCAATGACACAGCCAGGCCCAGGGAATTATGTAGCCACTGACACATCATGAGACTCACTTCCCCCGCTACTGGGAAAGTTCTACATGAATTAAAACCCACTGTCACATGTTCTTTGAAAAAAATAAGTTACTTTACAAAAATGACATTGTGCAATATAAAAACAAATATTGCACAGCCTCTCATCGAATGTTTTTACATAGAAGTGACGTGTGCAGTGCAGGTGTTTCAAATGCCTTATAGGTGAGAAAAAAAATGGAGCTAAGACCAACTCGTTCTTCATCATTATCACATCATCATCCTTGCCTTTACCTTCCTCCTCGTCTCCTCATCCTATCTACCTTCCACCTCTTGCTCCTTTTTCTTGCCTTTTTCAGTCTTGCCTACCTCTTTCCACCCGCATCCGGCTGCACATTCTTTGATTGCTTCTTCATGTGACAATGGTTTTATAATATCATTTTCTATACAGAGAATAGAGAGATTATTCAGCCTTTCCTTCAACATGGTTGATCAAAACTTGTTTTGTACCATTGATAATTTAAGGAAATTTCTTTCAGGCTCACAACTCTATTGGAAATGTCATGTACATTTTTAGAATTGATGTCAAATTTGAGGAAACCTCAATCAAGTTTCTTTCATCTGTGGGTTGTAAAAAACTCAAGGCATTTTGAGTTTTCTTGGTTGGTGACTAAATTTAAATATTTTTTAATTGACAAGTTTCATTAAAAATTGTGTTGATGATGTTGAGTTCTTGTTATAGTGGCATATTATGAATTTTATGCTATCTTTGTGGATGCATCAGATTTTTGTATCAGATCAGCAAAAAATTTAACTCTTTTCCCAACATGTTCATGTAATTTACCATTATTCATTGGTGGAATTATTAAACCATGCAAGAGTCTTTTACATAAATCTATTAGAATATTTTCTTCTTCTTTTAATAAACCACTTTTTGGTTTGATCTAGATACATTTGTGGTTGTAATTGTCTTCTCAATGTCAGAATCATCTAAATTTACATCATTGTTCATCAGTATTGCTTATGTTTTATATTTCATTTATTTAAAATATATTCCACTAAATCCAAATGAAATTATACCTTTAGATAGGACTGATCCCAACATGCCAATAAATGCCACCCAACACTCCCATAAATGCCACCCAACACAAGAGTCAGAATAGAAAGAGATAATGGTCATAACCAATTGTTAAAAGTGATTTACTTTGGCAAATTAAAAAAATAACTGGGCCATATAGATATATTTCTAGGGTTTCCCCCAGGACCTTAGAAGGGGCTCATATGAGAGCGGAGAATTGAAGCTTAAACTTTATTGTTTCCATAGTCTATCAGCCTCTGGTGGTGTGCTCTGAGTACACATGTGCTTTTCTATGAGCACATATGTATAAAGACATACACATATGTCTCTGTGGAGAGCATGGCCCTGGTGCTTCCTCAGATCCAATGCAGGTAAAATGGCCCCATGAGCAAAGAATGTTCCATCTACACTGCAAGTGAAGTCGGACTCAGCCAGTTGTCCCCCTTGAGGGGACTGAGATAAGGGACAGGCTAGGAGGGGACCTCCAACTCTATCCTCGATGCTGTGATCCAATCTCCAGCTGCTTCCATCCCTCCTGACTTTTCTCACTTCTTCTCTCCTGACGTCCTCTGCAGAAGACATAGAGCAAGGCAGCTAAGAGGGCAGTCTCTAGAGCCCTCTGCCTAGGTTCAAATCCTGGCTCATGACCTAAGCTGGTCTAATTAGACTTCTTCCCTGGGAATTTTCTAACTGGGATTTAATGGTAAGATCCAGGGTAACCCATGAGTTTCTGGAGAAAACCAATATAGAGTAGGAAAGAGAGAAGCCAAGCAGAGACAAGAAGCAGGTAGCCTAGAAGGGTGAGAGGGGCTCTAGCTCCCAAGGCCCATAGATGCTGTGGTGCTTATAGCTGTACTTTCAGATATGAGCTGCCCCGTGAACTTCCAACACACCCGCTTGTGGGCTTTAGGCTAGTTTGAATGAGGTTTCTGTCATGAAATATTCTAGACTAGGTGTGTCCCCTTACCTGCTTTTCCTCCTGAGGTCCCTATGTGTATAATGGCACCACCACTTAATCAGAAGCCAACCATGGCCTGAAGTCAGAAGCAAACCAGAGCCTGGAGTCACCCATGGCTCCTGCTTTGTCTTCACTTTCTAGGGCCTCCACACACAAGGCACTGTGAAGTTATGCAGGTTGTCCACTACACAAGCGCACCCAGCTCAGGAGGTGAGTGAGGACTGAAGTCCAGCCTGCTCTCTGCCTGCCTAGTCATGATCCCTGGTGCAGGGCCATGTCTCAGGAGAGAAGAGGTACTTTTTTCTAATTACACATTGACCCCTTATATGATACTGGGAACCTCTTCATGTGTAGAATCACTTCCCTTGGTGCAGAAATTGTGCCTCCTCTGTCAACCTGCTTGCCTTCTCACTCCTCATTACCACCTCTGCTTATACCTTTTGCCTTTCCTTGTGGTATTTCTCATCATTTATAACACTATTTATTCACTTGATTCTTCATCTCACAGCTACTTCCCTAGTGGATTTTAAGCTGTGTAAAGGTAGAGACTGTGCCCTCAATGTTCTCTGCTGTGCCCTCAACACCAACACATGATTTAGCCCGGGTCAGTTCAGGATATGTCATAGCTCCTCTAAGCAGCCCCAGTGGCATCCTGAAAGATCTCCGTCTCAAGTCTTGTTGTCTCCTACCTATTCTGCTAGCCCAAACTGGCCTTTCTAAAGTACAGAATTATTTATATCCTTCCCCTGTTTAGATTCCTGTATGGCTCCCTAATGCCTTCAAGATAAAGTCCAGATGAGTTCCATTGTGGTCCTGCCTCTGCCATTCCCCTATCTTCCTCTGACCCCTCCCCATGGGCATATGCAGTTCCACAGAGGCAGTTTTCTTTCTCTCACCCCTGGATCATTGCACCTGCTGTTTCCTCAGCTCTCTACTTGGCCCCTCTTTCCGGACAAACTCCTTCAAGATTCTCATTAAATTTACCTGCTTGTCTATATCTCCCCCAGACTAGTTAGGGAATCTTCCCCTTTGCTCGTCTGGTGTTCCCCTGCTACATGCATGTCCAGTACAGCACTTAATTCATCGGGATATAACCAGCTGCTAAAAGGTCCCATCCTTCCCAAATGTTTGTGTGCTTCCTAAGGGCAGGAACTGCATCCAACAGTCTCTGTTTTCACCCAGCACAAGATCTGGCATCTGTGGAATAAATCAATTCATAACTGGGCCCCAGGGGGTCTCAAAAGGGTATAAAGAATCCCAAGGGACATGTGGGGAAGTGGCCAGAAGACAAGCAGAGGATCATTAGTAACAGAACAGCTCTGGGCAGCTCCCCAGGGACCCTGTGTTGGGAAAAGCAGAGAATGGATCCTCAGACGTGTAATGAGGATATTCCTTCTGGCATCACATCTTGCCTGCTTTCCTGAGGGTCCCCTACTTGGCAAACAAAGCCCTTGAAAGTGGGCCTGTAGGGTTTTCAGGAAGCATATTTGTGGGATGGGATGTAGGAGGTACTGAGGTCTGACGGCACATGTGTGTTGGGGGTGGGGAGGTGGCATGTGAGTGGGGAAGAACCCTTGCCAGACCATCCTTCAGGGCCTTGTACCCAGGGGAGGGCACAGGTGCCTCTGTGTGTGTGTGTGTGTGTGTGTGTGTGTGTGCGTGCCCACCTGTGTGCATTGTGACTGCATTATCTACTCTTGTTTCCTAAGACAGAGCTCAAATGACAACTTCTCCAGGAAGCCCTCCCCAACACCCAGGCTAAATAAATGCCCCCTCCTCTGCCCTGAGAGAGTTTAAGCCTGATGAAGAGTACCTATGCCACCTGTGATGATGCTGACCCTCGTGCCGCTCTGCTCACAGGCTCTGAGCTCCTGTCCTCTTATGGGATCTGATAGTGTCAGGATGCTCTAGGTGCTGGGTTACTGGCTGGGTGGAGGTGTCTGTGCCTGTCTGGCCTCCTATGCTGCCTCTTTGCAGTTACACCTATTACTAATGGCCTGTAAGTGCCAATGAGCTTACAGCACATCTCTGCACCCTTTCAGTTTTTCCTCCAAATGCTGTGAGCACCTTGTCACATCCTCTACACCCATAAGTATACTACCAAGAGGTGCCTGGGCCACAAGCTTCCCGTGGTTCTTCTGGTTATCACACCTGGGTTCACTCACTGTATATGGAGGAGATGATTCTCAATCTTGAAGGAACTTCAGAATTACTTGGGGAGTTTTTGAAAAAATACCAATACCTGGCCCTGGGTATTTGGGGTCAGAGACATTGGATCAGAATCTCTGGTGGGGCAAGCTCAGACATAGGTTTTAAAAATACTTATATCAACCTGTGCACCCTTTCATAAGAGCCACTGATCTGTGTGATGATGTAGTCAAGGTCAGAGGAACCTCACTACATATTGGAGAAATTTGTACTTCTCTTTCCTTCCCTCGGCAGCAGGCTTTCTCCTTGCAATCCGCCGGCCACCTACAGGGGTCGCTGACGGACAGCTGGCCCAGCTTGCGGATTTTCCTCCGGATCCCACTCCCATGCCCAGGGAAAGCTGGAGCCACAGCAGTATAAATTAGCGTCTTTATTTTGAACACCTGAGCGAGCGCCCGCGGCTCGCCCGCCTGCGGTATAAACGTACAAAGTCCCTGTAGCACCACACACCATGCCTCAGAGATAAATACAGCCCTAGGGGCTCCTGCTCTGGCAAAGCAACTCTTATTTACAGGAATAGATTACAAAAGTATTACAAAAAGTGGTCCTGAACCGGGGAACTAGATGAGGGTGGGGTGGGTTACGGTTACACCTGCTACAATTGGGACGGGAATGCACCTGGGCCTCACGCCCCTCAAATGACCGATGCATCCAGGAGCAGGGCTTAGGTCTGCTAGGGTCTCACCCCCATGGGGGAGGGCGCAAGAAAGCTGAACCTAGTCCTAAAGATTCAGCCCTGGCCCACCGAGGAACACTGAGCGGCCATCGCAATGGGGCTCCAGGAAGGGTGCTGTGCGGAAAAAAGCCGCGCTGTGTCCTTGCCCTGGGGGGCGGGGGGGGCGGAAAACTTCAGTTATCTGGCCTCTCCCACCTCGGGAAGGGTCGCTTTTAAAGCGCTGTTGGGAGGGGGCATTTAAGCTCAATCTTTTGGACGCGAGGGACCCTAGGGGCACCATCCCTCGTGCGGGTGTGTGGCCACCCGCCCCTCAGAGCACCTGGTAGATGGGGTTGGGGTTCGCACCCGCAGGGCACTGCGGGGCGGCGTCCGGGGACTGGGTGGGGTCGCCGCTCTCTCCCTCGCTGGGGGCGGCAGCCTCTGGCACGCGCGGAGGCGACTCCGGAGGCGCCTCGGCCAGCAGGAGCGCGGGCGCCGCAGGGCTCTCGGTGGAGATGCGCTCCACGATGCTGGATAGGCAGTCTAGGCTCGACACCGCCACATTCTTCCCGGGCCTGGGTTCTGCGCGGGGAGGTCTCGGTTAGTAAGCAGGGGTGGGGCCGCGAACAAGCCTCCCACCCCCGGGCCCAGTGCTTTGGGACAGATTGGAAAATGAGGACCTGTCAGAGTCCAGGACGATTGAAAGGAGAGGGAGCTACTTGCTTAGCATTTCATCGCCCGCACCACCTCCCGGGACAGAAGCGTGTGTGAGTGGGGGTGGGGGCGTCCTAGATAGAGGGAAGCCAGGACAGCTCCAAGGAGGACGTGGGGAGCAGAAGCGAGCAGGGTGAAGCCCGAATACCCACCGCTGGGCGCCTCGCTGTAGTAGGCGCCTTCGTAGCAGTTCCGCCGCCGGGCTCCGCTCGGGGGGCCGCTGTAGTCCATCTGCAAACAGCAAGGGCGACTGAGTCAGTCCAGCGGGACCCGAACACCACTCCCTGTAGCTGCCCCCTCCCCAACTCTAGTTTCAGCCTCGAGTTCCGGGCCCATATCTGTCATGGTTGGGGGGTAAGGGTGGGTAGGAGATGAGGTCTTCAACGTGCAGAGCCAAACCAAGGGCAGGCAGTCACCAAGGGGCACAAATCTACATTTTGGAAGTAGGGGTAAGTAGAGAAAAAGATCTTCACGTCCGCGCTGCGACTCAAACGCTTGCCCGCACGCTTCCAAAGCAATTAGGCTACCCCAGTGACAGCTGCTCAGGACACAGGAGTCCTCTTTCGGAAAGGATCCTGGCCCAGACTTCCCGGAAGGATAGCTCCCTGCCCTCGGAAACACGTCCCAGATGTCCCAAGCGCCGCCCTCACGTCTACTCCCGCCGGGGGTCCAGGCCTTACCATGCCGTCGGAGCAGTTGGAGCGCGGACTGGACGCGTCAGAGTCGCCGCTGTAGTGCTCGCCGCTGCGGCCTGGGGGCAGAGGGCCCGGCGCGTAGAAGGCGGCGGCTGCGCCAGGGGGGGCGGAGTCCTGGTCGCGCAGCAGAGCCTGTAGGCCCTCGATATAGCGGATGGCGTTGCGCAGGATCTCCACCTTGGGCAACCGCTGGTTCGGGTTGCTCGACGTGCAGCGCTTGAGTGTCTCAAAGGCCTCATTTACTTTGCTCAGGCGGCGCCGCTCGCGCATGGTGGCAGCCTTGCGGCGGTCAGCGTTGGTGGTCTTGCGCTTGCACGCCTTGCAGGCCCACAGTAGGCAGCGGCCCGCCTGGTGGTGCCCGCTGGGCGCGCGCACATGCTCGTCCTCACGCGCGCCCGGGGCCGAGTGCGCTGCCGCGGGGAAGTGTGAGTGCTCTTCGGGTTTCAGGAGCGCGCCCACGTGCATCAGGCGCGGGTCCAGGTCCTCGAAGAAGCGCAGGTCCGGGGAGTCGAAACACGGGTCGTCATAGAAGTCGTCCGTTGTGGCAAAGGAGCAGAGAGAGCCGTCAGGGCCCGTCAGGTCTACATCGCGGAGCGGTGGTGACAGTAGCTCCATATCCTGGCAGGGACGCGGCACGGTCCTGGCTTCGTCCAACCCAAGCGGCAGGAGGTGACCGGAACTTTCTGCCGCTCGGGAGCCCCGGCTGTAAATAGCAAAGTGCTGCAAGTCTGAATGCACACCCAACTGTCCCCACCCCTCCCTGTCCTGTCCCACCTGATTTGTGGTAAGAAAAGTGGAGGCAGCGCGCTGGGGCTTCCTCACCCTTAGCTTCGCGCCTGGCGCCCTGGGCTATTTATCCGTAGTAGCCTAAACGCCCCGAGCCCAGGCGGGCAGCTAGGGGCGGGGGAGCCCGAGGCCAATAGAAACACAGCAGGGCGGGGCTTGGGGGTCCTCTGGGTGGCCGCAGGGGGCTGTAGAGTGGCCAGCACGCCCGCCCGTCCCTCGACACTGGCGCGCGCGCTCCGTCCCCTACCGGGCAGGGAGGGAGGGAGCGACCGGCAGTCCGGGCGGCTGCACTTGGCTCCCGGGCACGCCCTTTTCGAACCTCTCCAACACTCGACTGCTGTGTCCGCTGGAAACGTTGGCTGCGCGCGCTCACCACTGAGCTGTCGTTGAGTACTCTTCTGTCCCCTGCTTTGTGGGGGACCCAGGGTTAGAGCGGGTGTAGAAATCAGGTCGCGAGAGATTTGGAGAGAGGCAAGTCACTGGGGGCACAGAGCTGAGAGAGTGAGACGGTGAGAGAGGGACTGAAAGAGGCTGAAAGACAAGCAGAAAGCAGAAAGCTTAGAGCGTCAGGGGCAGAGAAACGCATGCAGCAACAGGCGGAGAGACCCCGAGAGTTTAAGTGGGCGAGACCGAGACAAACGAGTCGTGGAGGCTCTGATACTCCACCAGTCCCCAACCTGGGGGTTGCTCAGGGGCTCTTGGGCCCAGTCCTTCTTCCCTAGAAGCTTAGAAACCCAGTTGCGGCTATACAGGAATCGGGAATTGCTGCTAAAGCTCCGCGCCAATCTCTCCAAACTCGGATCCTGCGCGGGTTAGGAATCCTGTCCATCTCAATCTGCACGTTTCCGCAGCAGGGGTGTCCAGTGCCAGGCCTGGGGTCTAGGCTGAGCTGTCTCTTCAGCTGGGAAGAAAACTCTTCTGCTCAGGGCTTGGCTCCGCCTCACCCGCGGGTGCTGAGTCAAGGAAAGCGCATTTCGCCAAGGTCGCAAACTTCAGGACCTGGCCTGAGAATCTGACCTCGGAGTGAAGTCTCTGAGAGTTCCGTTTGCAGATCAATTGAGTCCAGATTCCAGGTTTCCCAACTTTGTGATTTTGTAGAAGTCGTGTCTCCTTCCTGAGCCTCAGTTTCCAGTTATAGATTTGGGGATGACAGTAATTTATTGGAGTAATTGTGGTGGGGATGAAAGTCTGAAGAGACCAAGGATGTGGAAGCCCTCAGGCGGTGGTGTAGGTTATGTGAGCAACTGGGCTTTCAGAGTTGGATGTAATGTCCCGCAGGCTTACAACTGGTCCATGGCACCAAGCCCTGACAGAGTCCCACATAGTCTCCAGGCCCCAGCTGTGTCTCTTTCCTACAGCTTCACTGGAAGGTCTGGAAACAGGAGGAGGCAACCACCCCATGGGATATGGGATCTCTGGCTCCAGTACCAGCCTCAGCATACCAGCCACCCCCCTGGGGGCCTCTCAGCCTCTTCCTGAATCTGCAGTTCACACAGTCCTCTGGGCACTCTGGGTAGGAATCTCCGTTGACCATACATCCCTGCCTGGATCTCCCCTCTTGGAAACCAGAAAGTTAAGCAGGAGTGATCTTTGTGTCCCACTAATTTCTGGAAGCCATCCTAGCTGGCCCTTCTGGGCCCTGAGAAGTCCTCATTTCTCACCAAACCCAGAGCGCTCTTTTGTGGTCCTACCTTTTCGCTTCTCTGCTGCTGGTAGTGGTGCTGCAGGTCTCCTTTTCATGGAGTACTCACCTCGCTTTACTCCACAGGACCACCTTCATTTGTTCATTCAGTAATGTCTGTGTGATGGAGCAGCGGTGATGGTAACTCTAAATCCTGGCAAAGGCAGGAAAGTCCTGGTCTCACCCCACCCAAACTGCAGGGGATCACCCAGAAATTCACATATTGTTAAGTATCCATTATATGTCACGTGTCAGTCCAAGTGTGGGGCTAGAGCAATGAACAAAACCAAGACTCTGCTTACATGGCACTTACACTGTAAATGTAAGCAGGGTGACAGAAGAGAAACTAATAAGGAAGTACGTGATACCAGGATGTTAGAAGTTTTATGAAGAAAAAGCCAGGCAGGGGGACACAGAGATGAAGATTATGGAGTGGATAGGGAAGGCCCATCTGTGACATTAGAGCAGAGGCCTGAGTGAAGAGAGGTGGAAGCAGATATCTGGAGATATGCAGGGCCAGATAGAAGGGTAAGCATGTGCAGAGGTCCTGGGACAGGATTGTGTTTGGCAGACTTAAAGTATAGCAAAGAGGCTGATATGCCTGCAGCAGGGTGAGTGAAAGGGATAGTGGGAAATGGGGTGAGAGAGAAAAGGGTTGTATTGTGAGATGGAAAACTACTGGAGGGCTTCAGCAGAAGAGAAGAGTGTCACCATCTGACTTACATTTTAACAGGAGCATGCTGGTTACTGGAGGGAAAGGGCAGAAGCAGGGAGACCAATTATTAGGCTATTGCAGTAATCCCAATGAGTGGAGCTGGTGGAAAGTGGTGGTTGAATTCGAGATCTATGTTTTCAAGATGGAGCTAACAATATTTACTCATGATTGTATGTGGGAAGTGAAATAAGTGAGGAGCTAAGGATGACTCCTGGAAGAATGGAGTTAGGAAGAGCAGGTTTGTGGGTGGTAGATCAAGTGTCCAGGTTTGGACAAAATTTGAAACGCATATTGTACACCCAGATGAAGTTGTGGAGTAGGCGGGGAGAATTTTGAGGCTGGAGTTCCTGAGGAGAGGTCTGGGCATGAGGAAGAGCTGCTCACTCTACCTCTAAGATCTGTGTCAAGTCTGTCCATCCCTAGCGTCACCATCCTGGACTAAGCTGTCACACTGCTGCTCTGGATTGCCAGAATAACCTGGCTGCCCTCCTCATTTCCTCTCTAGTCTGTATAATCCATTTGCTACAATGCAGCCTGAGTAGACCTTTAGAATGTAAATGGGATGATCTCACCCTTCTGCTTCAAACTTTCCAGCAGCTGCTTCTTGCATTTATAGTAAAATCTCATCTCCATACCCTGGCCTATCAGGCCCTGCATGAACTGGCCTCAGCCTGTGTCTCCTACCACACCTGGAGCCACCATTCTTTTTGATTCCTCCACTCCAGTTAGCCTGACCTCTTTTCTTGTCTTCTAAAACTCTGAACAGGATCCTGCCTTGGAGTCTTGTCCTTGCTGCTCTAAAATCATAGCATAGTCATCTGGGCTTTCCCCAAGATTGGCTGCATTTTATATAATAGAACTTCTTGCCTCCTCGGGACATCTCCGACTATTCCCTCTAAGATAACTGCCCCCCATACTCTGGGTCACATCACCCTGTTCATTTCCTTCCAGGCACTGCCACTCTTCATAATCTTCTTCATTAGTTTGCTCATGACTGACTTAGCCCCATGAAGGCAAGGACGTTTTGTTCACAATGACATTTCCAGAAACCATCACAGTGGCAGTCACACAGTAGGCCCCTGATAAATGTCCAATGAATGAATGAGTGGCCTCATGCCCTTTGGAACTCTATGCATATATTTGAACTTCTTGAACTGTGACATTAATGAGGATGGTTGTATTTCTTCAAAACTGGGCAGTCACATACATGATTAGACATCCATGTTCTATTGCACTTGCTCTTCCTAGGCAAGACTCAGACCCATCTGCCTAGGGCATCTTCTCTTTTGTTGGGCATTATACATGGCATGCTGCAATATTGTAGTGATATACTATAGAGAGATTTGGCATTTATGATGTGTCTTCTTCTTCTTTTTTTTTTTTTTTTTACTATATTCACAATGAGGAATGTAAGTAATTTTTGTATTAATGATTTAGAAACAAATACTTCTTCGTACTTGCTCAAGACTCAGCACAAAGCCTGTCGCGTAGTAGGCACTCAATATTTCTTGGGTGAATGAATGAATGAATGAATGAGTCTACTTAATTGAAGAGCACTCAGAGATTCCCAGGTGAGCTATTCAAACCACTTATCTATGCAAATCTAGATTTTCCCCAAATCTGAATAAGCAAGAAACTACAAAATAAATTGGATGCTGAGACAAGTGATTACAACTTGGCTTTTTGTGTTTTGTGTTCACAAAAACTTCCTCAAGACTGTCATCAAGTTGCCTTTACAACAAATAAGTAAATATTACATGTTTGAACTTACCAAACACATTTAATATTTTATCACTTGTGGCTTATAAATCTAAACTGCTTTGACAGTTTTAAGCTTGATTTGTAGCTACATCTTCTTCCACAATTAGGAAGCACTGTTTTAAAGCACACACACACTCTAGTGGTAAAATGCCATCTTTATATTAGGCTTTCAAGTGGGACTTTTGTTTGCTACCAGGCTTCTGTTGCTCGAAAAAAGTTTGGAACTCACTGAACTCAGTGGCCACTTCAGACCCCTTCAGGTCTGGCATCCACGCCTGCCTGGGATTGCCCTTCTGGTTGCGCCTCCTCTAGGAGAGAGGTTTGTCAACACCATCGTCTCATCCATGCTGTCCTCAGAGCAGGGAGAAGTGTGTCTGACCTGGGACATGGTGTCCTTTTAGTTCCAGTGCTGGGTGGGGAGCAGAGGGAAAAAGGACACCAAGTTTGGAAGCCAAAAAAGTTCAAACTCTTACACTGCAATCTAGTCATGGGTACCCCTTCTCCATAGGTGCTGGACTTGTTCTGTGAGGGGCCACTAGCAATGGGCTGAGGAGTTTTGAGGGGGTCCCCGGCAGCCCCCTCACCCCTCAACACAGGAATGGTAGGCTCTGTGCTTGGGGGCAAGTGCACATCTCGCCCTGGGCCTGGCTTCTGCTGTCCTTACTTTGAGGGGCTCCTTTGTCGGGGAGTTGGGAGGGAGCACTGCCTGGGCTGCCCCTTCTCCCTCTGCCCTTTCCAGTCCTCCAAACTCAGCCCCCTTGGCTGGCCTGCCCTGGGGCTATAAATGGAGAGCTGGCCTCTGGATAGGAATGCAGGCCTGGCTGGGCCCCCACAGTGTTGCGCCCTCAGGGAGCGGTCCTGGGGCTCCGGGCAGCCTTTATATATATATAGCCTCTGGAAACCCAATCCAGCCTGCACCTGCCCCAGGCTTCACGCACCCTGCCCCTGTCCAGGCTGGGCCTGTGGCCTCTGTACTTGGGCTGACACAGGCTGCGTATCTGGCCGGGAGGTGGGGAGCACCAAAGGGCCAGAAGGTAAAAGCACAAGTGGGCCTGGTGGGGCATGGCCAGCTCCAGGTCCCCTCTCTGTCCCCAGCCTTTCCCTTCCTGTTCTTGGGTCACCCTGAGTGCCCCCCTCTGTCCCCTGCCAACGTTGCTCCCTGGGAAAGCCTAAATCTGCCCACCACATGGGTATAGATCCTTCTCTGGGCCCAGTCTGGGTTGGTCAGGAGGGACTGTGATATTGCCAGGATATAGACATGGTCCCAGATTAGGGACAGGGTCCTAAAGATTCCCCACAGATGGCCACATGTCCTTTGGGGGTACTCTCCAGCCTCCCACAGACAAGCAGGGCTTGGTAGTCTGGCAGCTGAGCTGGGAGTTGAAGGACAGGGGTCCGCACTGTGCAGGGAGGGAACAGGAAGACAAGCAATGGCATGTCCCTTCCCACCCAGTGTGCAGGGTGTGCGGGTGGGGACACTATTGGGGTGGCAGGGATATTCCCACTCTCAGTTCTCCAGTCTGTGATTCATTCACTCATACAGCAAACATTTATTCAGGTGCTAGGAATGTGGTGGAGAACGAAACAGACCGTGTTTCTTGCCCCTGTGGAACTGACATGCCAGCAGGGCAGGGCAGACAATAAGTAATGCACATAGTAATAAATTATTATATAGATGTTAGAAGATGACACATGCAGAAAAATATTGCAAGCAAACAGATGAGCAGGATTGAGGTGCCAGGGTGGGGCCAGCTGTAGTGTTGAATAGAGTGGTCAGGTTGACAAGGTGACATTTGAGCAAGGAGTTAAAAGGGGCTTGGGAGTTAGCCATGTGGCCATCTGGGGAAGAACGCTTCAGGCAGAGAGAACAAAATAATTATTGAGCACCTTCGATTAGTCAGTCGCCTCTGCTAGAAGCAGAGAATTCTATGAGGACGCAGGCATGGCTCCTGCCCTGCCAGGATACCTTGTGCTGTGGGGGCTGAGGGCGAGGCGTGGAGGTGGCATGAGATAGAGTTTGGGGATAGGGTTTGATAGGCAATTTGTTACTTTTTTTTTTAATTGAGACGAAATCTCGCTTTGTCACCC